GAAACCGGGATAAGCTCCAGCCTGGTGGGCTCGAATACAGACTTGAATGCAGACTTAACCTTTTTTACCTTTCAAAAAGATCTTTCATACAGTAGTTATAAATAATTCAATTTGTTTGATCTAGTTTTAAGTTATTGGATAAAACCCTAGTGTGTGAACATTCAAATAAAAGCTATTGAGCAGTACTTATCCTTGCGTGTGATGTCCAACTCGCTGTGATCGCGGCCAAAAGAATTAGCATAGAAAATGAATAGGAAATCGCAGNCATTCAAATAAAAGCTATTGAGCAGTACTTTCATGTGGTACTGTTTATTATGTTGTACAAGGTATTTCAAACTTTAAAGGGATCTTTATAGAAGAGTTTGCTGAGCTTGCTAAGATCTCCAGCCGAAAAAAAAGTCTGTGGATGAAACCCTATAGTGCGTGACCATGAAAATGAAAGCTATCGAGCAGTACTTTCATACGGTACTGTTTATTTTGCTATCCAGGGTGGTTTTATAGGGCGCTTTCTATTCGACCAAAAATTCCGGCTTGAATTTCCGGAAATTTCCATGGGCGAATGGTACAGACTTTTCCGTTGTGGGAAACGACAAACCGCACAGTTTCGTTCGCTTGGAATTTTTCAATGACTTCAAGGTTTAAATCGCAACTATAGAAGCAAACAGAGCACTGATATGTCGACATCGTGACTGTTTATAGACCACAACGGCAGCGAAAAAGTCGCAAAACAAAGGGTTGGATGAGTCGTACAATGGTTCTGCACGCATTATAAATCTTTGTACATTTCTTAGCCAACCTATGCAAAACAAACAAGTACACCACAGGGGCATTATTTTTACAAAACGCTTTCTTCACGAGTTTAGCTGCCGCTAGTATTTATCGACATATAAGTGGAATGATTCTAAAGTATTTTCATTTTTGAATACGCGTCGCCATCATCCTTGCGTGTGATGTCCAACTCGCTGTGATCGCGGCCAAAAGAACTAGCATAGAAAATGAATAGGAAATCGCAGGGAGAAAATGGTGAATTTGCATAATTTCCGAAAAAGAGGAC